ATATGATGGGACAGTAAAGCTAATCATCCCGTGTCAACGAGAGGGCTACCCATCACTCGCGTCTTCTTCCTCCTCCCCTCCTCCTCCTCTTCTTTCTGACCACTCCAGGATCTCCTCTTCCGCTCCTCTTCCTACTCTGTCCCGCAGGCATATTTCTTTTCCCTTTTTCATACACCTCCTCACCCCTACCTCATTCCGCCTAATCTGGTGCCAAACACCCACCCCTCTTCCTACTCCTCCTTCCCTCGCTCTCCCCGATCCCTCGTATCCCATCCCCTTCCTACCCCCTTACCCTTCCTCTTCCATCATTCACCTTTCCCTCCTTCTTCTTCCTCCCATCTATCCCTGCCCCCAGCCCCGCCCCGACAGCCCCTGCTCGTCTTCCCTCTCCCCCCAGTACCCATTTCCTACCCTCCTCCCCCCACCCCCACCGCTGCCTTCTCCTCCCACTCCCCCATAGACCCAATTTCCCTACCCTCCCCCCCACCTCGCTCTCCTCCCCTCCCTCATACGCATTTCCCACCCGCCCCCCGACCCCCCCCGCCCCTCCATCCTAAGGTCTTTCTGTCACCTGTATATCCCCTAATGCATGCTCGAGAACGGGGGCGGCGATTGTTTTGTTCTTGGTCCAACACGCTCTCGCCCCCCACTCCACTCCCGAAGGGAGCATCGGCGAGCGAGATAGGATTGTGGGTATAGGATATCGGACTGTAGGGGAATTGGGCTCTGATGGGAGACGATCTCGCCTCGGATCGCGGGTTCGGGGCAGGGTGCCGTTGGATGTGTGGGCCCGGGGCATGTGAGGACTTGACCACATGAGTAGAGATGGATGATAGACGCCGGCATGGATAGATATGGTCGTGAGCGGGGTAGGGTGCAGCAGATTTGTTGATAGGTCCTTATGGAGAAGGCGTAATAGATAGGCGCAGTAGAGATATAAGTTCATGTACACAACACGATACCCACACACAACGCACGCACACCCACGCACACGACGACACGCACGACGCACACGCACACTTCATACACACACACGCATTACACCACACACACACACACACACACACACGCACCACACACACACACACACACACACACACACACACACACACACCACACACACACACACACACACACACACACACACACACACACACACAACACACACACACACACACACCGACACACACACACACACACACACACACACACACACACACACACAACACAACACACCACCACAGACACACACACACAACACACACAACACAACAGACACCTCAACGTCATAGTGTTAGTATGAGCATCTTTTACTGCCATGTATTATCTTTTTCCTACATCGTTGGCCTATCTGTTGGCTAATTTGTCCTAGTGTAGTTTTTTATTGGTTTATCACTTATTGATGGTAAGTATTTTTCGGTATATCAACAGGGGACTTTGTACTGCTTTGTTATATGTACTGGCCTAGGGTGTACATTTTACGATATTATGTATAATTGACGCGCAGGTATTTAGATCTCCTCCCATTAAGACCTACTACATTATTAATGTTGACCAAAACCATTAGCAAATATGAAACCCAATTAGAAGATAGGAGAGGAGGCCAGAGGATGGAGGAGGAAAATAGAGAGGTAAGATGGAAGTAAGAGGAATTAGTGAGGAAAAGAAAAATTATATATTAATGAGGAAACAGGATGCGGCCACTGAGAACGAGAGAGTAAGAAGCATAAGAGAAAAAAAAATCAGGTTAGCACGAGGGAAATTTGGAAACAGACACGAATAAAAACAGGTCGCGGAGAGCGAGGAGAGAACAAATGGAATGAGACAAGCATGGTGGAATAGAAGGAGGCGTGGAAAAGAAAGAGGATAATGGAGCCAGATTAGCGTTGTGGGTTGCATAAGGGCTTAGGATGGGCCTTTCGATAATTATTGTGTGTTAATCCTTTGCATCTACACAACTTGGCGTTGTTCTCGAAGGCGCTATCGCTAAACCCCCCTCCCCCTCCTCCCGCTGTTCTATCCCCTATTCCCTTGAGAAAGGTGCAACGAGAGGGGAGAAGGGGGAGGGGGAGGAGAGAGGGAGGAAGGAGGGGAGAGAGACGCGTGAAGAGACATGAGAGAGACAGAAGAGAGATCGAGATGAGAGAGCCGAGCGAGGCAGACCCTGGCCGGCATGTGGGCGGAGTAGGCTGGGGAAGGAAAAGAGGAACGAGAGAGCAGACATGGTATTTGAGGGCGAGAGATGAGTAAAGAGGAAGAGAGAGAGAGGGACCTGTGGAGTAGATGAACGAGTATTGCGATGGCGGACTCAGAGAGACGTGATGGTCTCGGCCACGGGATGGAAGGAGAGGGCGGGAGAAGAGAGGGAAGACGAGGGTGGTGAGAGCTGAGAGATCGATGGGGATAGGGGAGAGGAAGGGGAGGTAGGAGGTGAGAGATCTCGAGAGGTCGAGATGAGAAGGTGAAGGACTGGCGATGCATCGAGGGTGAGAACGTGATGCGATATCTCAGACGAGAGGTGGAGAGAAGGTGAGAGAGGGGAGTGCCACGGTCTAGAGGATGCTAGGATAGTGAGAGGGATGAGAGATGGGGTCGGAGCGTGTGACGGTGAAGAGGAGGAGAGAGAGAAAGAAAAGAGATGGAAAAGAGCGGAAGAGAGAATAGACAGATGGAAAAGAGAGAGAAGGGAGGAAGAGATTGAAGGAGGAAAGTAATTTCTGTTATCACGTAGGATGGCTTAATCCCCTCCTCCCCGCTCCCCTTCCGCCCCCACCGTGGCGCACCCACTCCTGTCCCCCAACCCGAAACTCTCTGGTCTCAACTCCCCGAATAACCTAGTTGTTGTTTTTCCTCTTCTTCGTGTCTCCCAATCTCTTTGCCAATCGCCTGTCACGACTGTTCTTTATTCTCGCTTCTCACTCCCCGTCCCTCGCGTCTTTCCGTTCCACCTATTCCCAGTCTCTCTTTATTCCTCCTCCTTACCCCCCCCTCCGTTTGTGCCTCTCTTCCTATTTTCTCTCTACTTTTCCTACCTTTTCCTTCTCTCTCTCTCCTTTTTCCTGCCCTTTCTGTTCGTGGTAATGGGAGCACGGTAGTCGCGTCGGCGGGATTTTCCCTCCCGCTGGGACCGGTTTCATTTGTAAGGATTCTTTTCCTTGGAGTGGTAGAATGGGTCTTTTGAGGAGAGGTCGATTTTGTTAGGTTTGATAGAGGGAATATAGACTTGTATTTCCCTGATTCTTCACTCGGATGAGTGGTTTTATAGAGGTTCTTGATGCTTTGTGATGATGAGAGGTTTTTTGGTGGGATGAATGGCTTTTTTGGGACGGGTGATATGAGGTAGAGATTTTTGTAGTGCTAGAGGGTAGAGGGATGTCTAGAGCGCGATGTACGCGCTCTGTTTGTTTTTCCTGAGGGTTGGTTGAGAGGTGTGACGATTGTTAGTAGATTGTATTATGAGGATGTTCGAGAGTAAATAGGTGAGTATTGTGGTGTATAGTGTGGGAGCGAGGGGAGATGGATTGATTGCATGTTATGGCTGTACTGGGAAGGTGATGGATCGTCCTATCTGTCTTAGATTGCTGTTTTTTTGCTTATTTGTATGATGGGAGAGAGAGATTGAGTGTTTTCTGTTGCCTTTTATGCATTGTGAGCAGGTTTGGTATTTGTAATTATATAGTGCGTGAAGGTTTTTTTATTTTTTTTTTTTCTCGCTTTTTTCTCTTTTCTCCTGAGTTTTCTCTTGATGCAGGGAGTATTGGAGGAAGTGGAGTGATTTTTCTGATGTGGTTGTGTCTAGATGAAGAGAGAGGGGAGTGATCGTACTGGCCTTTGTACTTTTTCTTGGAGACGGGGTGAGTGTTTCTAAGTTGTGAGGTGATTGAGGTGAGACGATGCGGTATGAGGCGTTCTCTTGAGGGAAGATGGTCTATGTATTATTTTTTTCTTGTGATGAGTGCTTGATAGTGGGTTAGAGTGTGTTTTGACTGTCTTCTGTCTTAGGGTAGCAGTGTGGAGATGCGGAGAGGGAGTTATGCTTGAGAGGAAGAGAGATGAGAGGGAGAGGGTAGAGGTGAGAGGTTAGAGAGGAAGTTGATGAGAGGGAGAGGGAGTAGGGAGAGGGATGAGGCTGAGAGGCGAGAGGAGAGAGACAGAGAGGGTAGAGGTGAGAGGAGAGGGAGATGGGAGAGGGAGTGAGTGAGGAAAGACGAGAAAGAGGGGGAGAGGGAGATTGGAGAGGGAGAGAGATGATGAGGGTCTCTGAGGGAGTCCGTCGTTTTTTTTTTTTTCCTTGATGTGGATGGGAGATGGGAGATGGTGGATGAAGGGAGAGGGAGAGGGTTGGAGAGATAGAGAGGAGAGGGATGAGGCTGAGTCAGGGAGAGAGTAAGAGAGGGATGAGGGAGAGTGGTCAGATTGAGTAGGACGTGGAGGTTTGTAGTTGTGCGTTGAGTAGAGATGAGGGAGTGGAGATAGGAAGATGGGAGAGGGAGAGGTGAGGAGGGATGAGGTGTAGGAGAGGAGGGAGGAAGTAGAGGTGAGAGGAGAGGATGAGGGAGAGGTAGAGGAGAGGCGAGAGGTGAGAGGTAGAGGCGAGAGAGCAGGAGAGGGAGTAGTGAAAGAGAGGCTGAGAGGAGAGGGTGAGAAGGAGGCTGGGCGTGGCGGGGGGGGCCGGCGGGGTCTCCTGGGGTGTTCTTCTTGGTAATTATGGGCTTTTGGGGGTTTCGTTCTGTTTGTGGTTTCCGTGGGGTTCTTGGTTGCTGGGGCTTTTCTTTTTTTTCGTTTTTTTCCCTTGTTTTTGGGGTGCGCTCTTCGCTCGGGTGTTGTGGCGGGGGCGGGAGTGGTGTGGTTGCGGGCGGGGGTTTTAAAAAAGGGGGGGTGGGAGAGATTGAGGGATATGGTGTGTCCTTGTGAGAGGAGAGGAAGTAGAGGTGAGAGGAGAGGGAAGAGGGGAGGGGAGGGAAAGAGAGGGAGAGGGGAGAGGGAGAGGGTAGGAGGAA